TTGAAACAACCCATACATCAATTGTATCAAGCATATTTGTACATATGTTGCCATTATTATTTTCTAAACATTTACTTGCTATTTGAGCCTTTGGTATCAGTACCTCTTCCCCCCACCCCCACCCCCTACCCCCTCCTACCCCATCTATCTCTTGACTGATGGCGCCTGGATTTACGCACGTTTGGGTTTTCAGATAAAGAAACCGAGTGGTTTGAATTCAGATTTAGTGAATATAGATGCGGTGTGATGGTGGGTCCGAAAGAGATGTAAAGCATCACGTTTCTCCTCTGTAATGGAGATAGTAGTAGGACGTTGCTTCCTGTGGTCGTGGATGATAACGTGAATTAGTGCATTTAGAGGACTTAGCACCGGTTAGCAGTTTGTTACTGTACTCGTGACAATCCACCCTGGCCTTGCTGCTAGTGAGCTACAGCTTTTGGTTCCTCATGAGCCAACCCCCTAAAACCCAAATCTACTGCCAGCAGTAGACAGTGACCTCTTATAGGAGTCTCTTTCTCCAGAGGACGGCTGGTGGGTTTGAACCCCCCACCTTGTTGTTAGCAGTCCATTCTGACCCCGTCAGCACCGCCAGGGCTCGAGTCCTCTAGCATTTCATGCCAACTTCCTTGTAATCTTTTCCAGCGTCTAATGCAAGGCAGTGCTGGCTGTTGAGAACAGTACACCGAGGCAAAGGATGTGGTTCTTGCCTTTGAAGAAGAGAGGAAGTGTGAGTGCATAAAGGACTGAAATGCCAGGTGGGATGAGACCACGTCACGGGAAAGTTAACAGCAAAAAAAGCTTAGCTGGATTTTTTGAGGAAGGCGTGGTATCCCGTTAGGCAATGCTCCACAGATGCAGGGCTTGGGTGGTGGGCCTTGAAAGCGGAGTGGATACCATCAGATAGAACAGCAGTTTTCAACCTGTGGGTTGTGACCCCTTTGGGGGTTGAACGACCCTTTCACAGGGGTCGCCTGATTCATAACCGCAGCAAAATGACAGTGATGAAGTAGCAACGAAAATAATTTTATGGTTGGGGGCTCACCACAACATGAGGAACTGTATTAAAGGGCTGCGGCATTAGGAAAATTGAGAACCACGGAGGTAGAAGGAAAGGGGAGGTCATTGCCCTGAAAGAAGAGCCTGGTTGGGAAGGTCAGAGGAACTGAAGAGAAACACTGCTTGGAGCAGAAATTCTCAACTCTGGCTGTGTACTAGAATTTCCTGGTGAACTTGGAGAGCTGTTGATGCCCAAGGCCAAGACTTCATTGTTCTAGAGTATGGCCCGTGTTAAAAATTCTCTACTGTATTTTTGGTGGACTGAGGTGGGCTCTGGTATTTTCAGTCGCCTCCTGTGCATGTGAAAGTTGGATATTGAATGAAGGAAGACTGAAGAATTGATACATTTGAATTACGGCGCTGGTGAAGAATCTTGAATGTACCCGGGACTGCTAAAAGAACAAACAAATGGGTCTTGGAAGAAGTACAGTCAGAATGCACCTTAGATGCAAGGATGGCATCTGTTAGTTTCTGTTAGACTCTGTTAGTTAGGCATCTGTTAGACTCTGTTAGTTTCACGACTTTGGGCATGTGATAGGAGAGACCAGTCCCTGGAGAGGGCCATCATGCTTGGTAAGGTGGAGGGACAGTGAAAAAGAGGAAGGCCCCCAACCAGATGGATGGACACCATGGCTGCCACAATGGGCTCAAGCACAGGAACCATAGTGAGGCTGAGGAAGCACCAGGAAGGGCTTTATTCTCTTCCATGTCGCGTTGACATGGGTTAGAAGCGATTCGATTCGATGCCTAACAGCATTAACGGCATTTTTGGTGAAACTATACACCGCAAAGCGGATTCCCATATAACAGTGTCTGCACACGCTGTTCAGTAGCATCAGCTCCAGTTCTCACCTCGTGTGTCTTTCTCAGGCTTCTCACCCTCGTTGTTCCAGTTCCGTTACCTTGCTCTCTCTGCTCCCCGCCTTTTCCTCCCACAGTAGAGCAGCTGTAGTCCACTTTCCCACTGGGCTGCTAACCACTAGGTCAAGCTGCTCCGAGGGAGAAAGATGGGCTTCTCCTCCAGTAAAGATTCACAGCCTCGGAAACTCGCGGGCAGCTCTCCCCTGTGCCACAGGGCTGATGGCAGTCGGTTGGTGTCCAAGGTCTCGTATAAAGGCTTTTCTAAGCACTGCAAGGTTGGCATTCTTCACTTTTGAGCTCATCTGGGAGTGAGAATTGACTTTGGTTCAAGGTGTAGAGGCTTTCCTATGTTAGTACAATAGTTCCAGGGATTCCTCCAGATGTAGTAGGTCCAGTAAGTATAGGTTTTTTTGTGTTTTTTTAAATCTGAAGTCCTGTTCTCCCTTTCCAACAGGATCCATTGATTGTGACCCTGATCAGAGGTTTGGAAGTGATAGTCAGGCTCCATCCAGGTCTCCTGGTGTCAAGGCCGAGGACACCGGGGTTCATGGAGATGATGATTCCTGTTGTGTGGTTTCTTTTCTGATCCTGAGTTCCCATCTTTCTCTTTTGCTCAGAAAGAATAGATTAATCATTGAATATTAAATGACTGCTTGCACGCTTCCAGTATCCAGATAAACCCCCTGCCAAGTTCATTCTAAATGTCAGCAACCCTATATAGGGTTTCCAAGGCTGTAAATCTGCATGAGAGCAGAGAGCCTTATCTTTGTCCTTCAGAGTAGCTGCTGGGTTTGAACTGCTGACCTTGTGGTTACCATTCCTGTGCTTTCCCTGACAGCACCACTGAGACTCCTTAAAGTCCTAGGTACTATTCAGCAAGTTAGGGTGATCTGGAATTTTATAAACTGTATTATGTCAATTGATGGAATTGTCAACATTGGAATTTTTAAATAAGCTCCTCAGAGAGTCTACATGCAAAGAGAGATGCAATGGAGAGCACAGACTGAAGACTGAGAAATGTTATTACACACTCACCCCTTAGTGCATTCGTAATGTTTTAATAGGGGGATACAGAAACTTAATTACATTATCATCATACACTACCTACCACCTGGAAAAATTGTTTACTATTAAATAAGGTAACATGAAAGGACCTAGTAGGCATCTAGGAAATGTAAATTGATTCTGGACCTCATTCTCCATGTATTTGGGAGCTGCAAATCTGAAAAGTTTGTTTTAAAAGCAGATAATTTCAGGGTGTTCCATGGATGCTCTGTAACCTATTTGTGGGCTACTTCCTTGTCTCCTTTTGGCTGCGCTCCCTACTTAGCCGGGTTCGACAGCACTTAGGGTGAGACTTCAGAGTGTGTATGGGTGTTGTCTTGCTCTCATGCTTAGGGTCACCCAACACTGAATGTCACTGGCAAGTGAAGGCGTGAGCCACCCCACCACCGGTCGCTGTGCAGTCGGTTCCCACTTGGTGGACCTCGCAGGTGTCAGGGTGACAGGACCGCGCGGCAGTCACTATTTTGAAACTAGATCGTCTGGCCCTTCTTCAGAGGCACTCCGGAGTAGACTCCGCGTTTACCCTCATTGTCAGGAAACAGTCATTTGTGAGATTCCCGGTCGCCTCTTGCTCCCTCTGTGCCTAGAATCCAGTCGGCACCAAAGAAGTGGTAGTTGCTATCATTATCATTAAGTCGGAACACCCGCTGCCCTCGCTCTTCAGTCCGCGCTCTCCATTTGTGGGGAGTCATTTCCGATGCCTCGTGATCCTGAACGGTGGTGCTCCGACGGTTTTCAGTGGCTGATTTGGGGTGGGGATGGTGGAGGAGTGGTAGGTCTCTAGGCCTCTCTTAGGAGGCGCCTTTGGGTGAAATGTGAATCTTTCCCTTATCACCTGAGTGTGCTAACCGTTCTTCCTACCACCCAGGAATTCCAGTGCATAAACAAGAGAGTGACAGCTGGCGGGGCATGGGAAATGAAGGAATAGAAGATGCAGGAGTGTGAGGAACAGAGGGATTTCTCTTAAGTTGTCTTCCCAAAATATATGCCAGACTTAGCTTGAGAATAATTGTTCACTAGGCAGCGAAAATAGGTCAGAGGTTATTCTCCTTAACATCAGCCATCTAGAGCAGCCAGACTGCATAGTCTGACTCACCCCAAATAGGGCCCATTCCTTTCTGTTATTGTTCCCTCGAAGCAGTGCCCATAGGCAAGCCTGGGACCACTCTAAGATGACTAAGCTTAGGCTACTATCTTGCCACACATGCCCCCCTATTCCCTCCTCTTACTATTGCACATTCACCCCTAGGTCATCCCCCTCCTATTGCTTGTATTGCCTATGTTACAACCCCTCTCTATGAAGTAGGTTGCTATCTGCTATCAGGGGGCTTGCATGCCTCCCAGGATAGTAATTGCCTGCTTTATTGTATGAGACACCAGAATGATCAAACCTGTTCAAGGATGAATTGTATTGCCCCTCTCTGTGACGCATAATGCTGTGATGTATCCCCCTAAAGTAATATGATGCGTGGTTAGCAATAAATAAGGAGAGCTACTTCTCAAGGGAGGCTACTCCCAAGAGGTGGCTCCCAAGAGGTGGCTGGCCGAGGGTGGCTGGCAGAGGGCGGCTGAGGAAGGAGGGCTGCTCCCATGAGGGCTGCGCCCATGAGGGCGGTGGACGAGAGGGCAGCTCCCACGAGGGAGGCGGCTCCTGCTCTGGCAGCCGGGTTCCCCCCACGAGGACCACCAAGCGGGGCGGAGGTGAGCAATGGTACTATGTAGCATGCCTGACTGTATTATTGTATTATCTCTCATGCTCTCAATGACTTTAATGTAATGCTTATATATCTCAACCGTACAATTGTGCATTACTGAACCCAGAAGTAGTATTACTGAATCCGAGTAGTAATAGGAGTATTAGCGGTGGGGGCTGGCCCCCCACCTCCCTCAGCGTCTTTTTTTTTTAATTTAATACTACACAGGAGGAAGAAAGGAGGAGTGGGGAAACCCAAACTAATCTAAGGCGACGTGTGTCATGGACACAGTATTCTGTCCTCTCATAGGCCCTTGGTATTCCTCCTCAGCTCCTCCCCTGGCTGAGGGGAGTCAGATAAGCCCTCAGTCATTGCTGGGGCTCACAAACACACACCACGCCATATGGCTGTGCTCCGGTAAGCTGTTTGAGGGACCAATATGCAGCTGTAGATTAGAATTGAGTATATATTGGGATATGTTTCACTTAGTGGTGGTATTTGGATTCAGAATTTAAATTTGGAGAGAGCCCTAATACCTGCTTTGCCTTTCTTTTCTGCAGATGTCTAGTATGAGTCCCACCTCTCGGCCTCTTATGCAGCTTCAGTAGTCTCAGCTCCACTGGCTAGAAACGGAAAGAAGATCTGCACGGACTCCACACGCTGAGCTGAAGCACAGACGGCGGTGTTCCTCGTTCCCTTTTGTTCTTGTTACCAACAGGTGCTGAACCAAACCAAACGTACTGCCCTCACGGCGATGCCGACTCACACTGCCCCACAGGGCAGGGCAGAACTGCCCTGTGGGTTTCTGAGACTGTCACTCTTTCCGGGAGTTACTAAAAAGCCTCATTTTGCTCCTGTGGAGCTGCTGGTGGTTTTGAGCTGCTGACCTTGAGCAGCCCACTGTGTGAACACTGTGCCTGCAGAGCTCCTCTATTAGCGGTACTAGTTGAACTCAGATAGAACGTACTGCTGCCTGTGTCTTGAATACCAGTGCAGCTCTTCTGCTTGGGGGAACTATTCTTTCAATGGAATAATTTTAAATGAATTTGTTTAGATTTTTAGTGACACTTTTTATAATGTGAAAACCTTGCCCTAACTTTTTAGTTTTATGTATTACAATTTTTTAAGTTTTAGTTGCATAGGGAGCCTTGTTTGCAAATGTAACGATAGTTCAGAATTTTAATTTTGAGTGATTTTTTTAGGTATAATGTTCATAAATTCTCATTGCATATCTTTTCACATTTAAGTTCTCTAAAATCATGCTGCATTTTATAGTCACAAAGTTTTAAAAAGCATTGATTCTTAAAGGCTACTTAACTATGGAAGTTCGTGATAAAGTGAATTTTAAATCAGTAAATATATGATCAGAAGTTAAAACCCACCAGCTACTTAACTATGGAAGTTCGTGATAAAGTGAATTTTAAATCAGTAAAACTGTATCTATGTAGTCCACCCACAAAGGAAGGACGAGGCTGTCTGTGGCCATACAGGCTTCAGTCTAGGAAAGCCAAAAGGGAGGTCTGCTCTGTACTCTAGGTTGCTGGGACAGGTAGGGTTTTTTTTTTGCTTTGTTATTCACTAGCTCAGAAATAAAATTTAATGACCTTTAATCCTAAAAAACAAAACAAAAAACCAAAAAACCACTGATTTACACTTCTGGTTTAGCATGTTTTCATTCTTAATGTTACCTAAAATAATGCTAAATCTTCCAACTTGAAGGCTTATTAGAGTTGACAAAATCTGGTATTATGTCCAAAAAACTCATGTTATTTTGCTGCATGAGCTATTTTCTTAATAACTTTCTATGTAGTATCTGTTTCTGAAACATACTCCAGAACATAGTGTTCTCAAGCAGGGGTGATTTTTTATTATGACGGGGGTAGGGGACATGGTGGGAGGGAGGGTGCTACTAACAACAGGGGGCAGAGATGCTGCTGAACACCCTTCAGTACACAGGACAGCCTGTACAACAAAGAGTTATTTGCTCTTTGTCAGTAGTACCAAGGGTGAGAGACGCTGCTATAGAGATTTCTGTGAATTTAAACAAAATTAAAAAAATTTTCCCCAGACAGTTAAATTCAGTCTTTATTAATTTTTCTCTTTACCTAGAGTCAGAATGGAGACAATATTATCCATATGTTTTAACCATTAGTATTATTACGTATAATGCTAAGAGCAAGTGAACGCATTGTAAAAATTAAAAAATATTTTTAAGAAGTATACCAAATATATTTTGACTCCTTTTCATGAGCAAGGCACTTACTAGATTCTTTAGAGAAAATAAAAATAATTTGTGATTTATCCTTTTTCAGAAACATTGTAAAATAGTTGCTTACACACCCCCTCCCCCCCCCAAATCAGTCATAAAACACCAGCTGGTCACAGTCAACATTTAGAAGCACCACAAACATTTTTTGAAAAAGCCTGTTTCTACTGGAATTCTCTGCATTCTGTGGAGTTCCTATTCGAACGCTAATGAAATGCTGGACACATGCCTGCCCTTAGCAAAAAAAAAGGGTAAAATGTTTATTAATCCTTTGCAATTATTTGTGAGGCATTCTTTTTTTTTTTTTAATTTGGTGCCACTGAAAAAATCTTGTGTCTCTTTAAACTGATGTGAATGATTGTCTTCAGCTTCTCAGGAAGTTAAATGTCGTCAGAGGACCGAGAAGCTCAGGAGGATGAATTGCTGGCCTTGGCGAGTATTTACGATGCAGATGAATTTAGAAAAGCAGAGTCTGTCCCGGGTGGAGAAACCAGGATCTATTTGGATTTGCCACAGAATTTCAAGATATTCATGAGCGGTTAGTCACAATGTTCTCCTGAAGAGATGATCGTTTTCCTTAAATAGAGATTATGCTCATTTTCTTAGTGTACCCTAAACTGTTCATCATTTTGTATTTGTAGGCAGTAGTAATAGCTACGATAGGTTTACTACATGTTTCTATCTTTGTTGAAAATTAGAATTGGGGTAAATAGTTTTCCATTTGATTCCTCCTTTTTGACCACAGAATTAGGTTATTAGCGTGTGTAATTCTTGCATTCCAATCACCCGCTAACTAGCAATTTGTCAGCAGGAATCACACTGTTAAATTAGGATAAGAAAAAAGTAAATGACATCTACCTACTTCTTACTTATTGACTGTTTCAGTAGCCAATGTTTTGTATTTACAAGCATAGTTTTTTTTTAAAAAAAGCATCTTTTGCACAGGAAGGACTTAGGTGTGACAGTAACAAATGCCAGGGTGTTAGGTGAGAGTAACACTGGCTCTGGGGGTTAAGGTTATGTGTCAGCTGACTGGGCCAGGCTTCTTGGTGGTTGGCAGTTATGTAATGATGTAGTCATCCGCCGTTTTTTGACTGGATATGGTCATCCTGTATTTTCACGTAATCCCCTGGTGTCTGGAACGCAATCAGGTCAGTAGGTGAGGAGTGGGTATAATGTATGTGAAAACAGCACGGAAAGCTTTACAGTGTCATTATGGTTGTCAGACTCGGTGGTTTCCAGAGTCACATTGTACATATGTGACACACGCTGTTTACTCTGGCTTCCGCGAAAGCCCAAACTTTTGCTTTTGATGCAAACATTTCAAAGCAGCCCCTGATGCACAGTTTGTTCAGACTGTTTCCGCTAGAAAGGCGCTGAGTAAAGAAAGAGCGTATGACGGTTCCAGAGGAACCTTGATTGTGAGAGAGCGTCGTGTGCCCTCTGGTGCCCGCAAACCCTGAGATCCTTGTCTTGGCACCCGTTTTCCTAGCTCTAGGATTCCTGGGGAGCTGGCACATGCTGCTCTAAGTAGGTCATGGCTGTTGGACGGAAATAAACCCTTGTCTCAGGGTATGTTCTTGTGGTCTATATGGGACACAACACAGGAACACAGCGGACATTAATTCACGATGGGAATTGTGCTCAGAAATGGGTACAAGAAGAAGTTGTGTATAATGAAGGCGACAAATTGAAGATTGAGGAATAGAAAGGGCTTTGGGGGAGTATCTTTACTCTCTCCATGAAAGCTGTTTTCCTTAAGCGCTGCTTAGCACCAATGGGCACACCCGTGCCGACCCACTGATCTTGTCTCACCTTTGTTTCCGGTTCAGGCAGTTCTGAGGAGCATCTCCAGAGTGGTGCCTTTGAATACCCCATTTGCTTCCTGCCTCCACTTGTGCTGAACTTTGAACTGCCGCCAGACTACCCATCCTCCTCCCCACCTTCATTCACACTCAGTGGCAAATGGCTGTCACCAACTCAGGTTAGATCCGGGCGTTATGTTTTCTACCCGTTTTAGAAAAGAAAATCATCTTGAATGGAAACTACCTTTGGTCATTTCGAATTCAGTGCATGACGAACAAATGGCTTTCATGTTGTTGCTTCCTCCCCGTTGCTTTCATGAATCCTAATGTAATGAATTGAAAACGTTCGTGTTTTAGAATGGCGTGGCAGTAATTAAAACCCCTAATCACTACGGTTTGCAGTAGGAATCATTTCTAATCAAGTGCATTGTTTCTTACCGTTTTATTCCCCAGTTTAATCTGTGTTGCAGTGAACACTCGGGGTCCTCCTCATTTTCCTCAGGTGTCGGTACCCCCTCTCCCTCCCGCCTCAGTTTCCTGTTCATTCTTTAAATGAAATATTTAATTGTAATTAGAGGACTGAAAATTAAGCTAATGCATTTGTAATAAACACATTTTTCAAAGAAGCATAAAAACAGTTTTATTTGTAAAGATCTGTATATTAATAATGAACCCTGGTGGACTGGTCTCTCACACAGATGTCAGTGCTCAGGAACAGGACCCAATCCAAATGCTGTGTGTCATCCTGGGAAGGCCCGAGTCTTGGTATCCAGAGCCTACATTTCCTCTGGTTCTCTCTCCTGCCCTAGTGACAACCGCGGCCCTTGCTTGAGACATCAGTATGACTTGCAGGCTGTGTAAAGTATCCCGGGATAGATAATAGATCGATAGCAGCTACTTTTCTAGAAGCCATGATGAAGATTGACAGACCGTTGTATATTAAGACAAAGGCTGTCAGAATTGCTGACCTCAAAGAGCAGCCTGTCAGTTTTTCTTTTCTGACCCTGCAGTTTTCCCTCCCCTACTCACCAGCCTAACCTTTTGCAGACATGAGCTAATGGTTTAATAACAAAATTACACTTTAAAAATGATAATACATGTAGAAGAAAAAGCAGTGTTGCTTTATATCTTACTATCTATGCCAGAAGGTGATGCAAGAGAAGACAGTGGGTTATTTGAACAAGAGTATCAAGGCGGTTGACATTTAGATCACTGAGCATTGACTGAAAAACACAGATATTTATAGCCATCTTTCTTCAGACAGCTCGCTATACTTTGAATGTCTGTCTGTCTGCATGCACACATGTGGTTGTTTTCTCTCTCTCTCTCTCTCTTTCTCACACACACACACACACATACACACACACACAAATTGAGTATATGGATGTAACTTCATATTCCAACCAACTAGCATCTACTTCATGCCTCCTTGGGGTAGCTCTGGTGGCGTAGTGGTTATGCGTTGGGCTGCGATCTGCAAGGTCAGCAGTTCGAAAACACCAGCTGCTCCTTGGGAGAAAGACTGGGCTTTCTACGCCTGTCAGAAGCTGCAGTCTCGGGTACTCACAGGGGCAATTCTACCCTGTCCTATAGGGTCACTCTGCATTGGCATCGACCCGATGGCAGTGAGTGTGGTTTTTGGAATGCCTGCTTTTGGTTAGGAGGAAAGAGCTATTTATTATTTTATATTTTACCTAAAGTAATAGTAGGATTCTATACCACACGATCACACATTTATTTGTCATCTTAGTTGGCCCCTGGTTCAATTTGTGTTTGTTGCCGGGCCCTTGACAGTGAAGCTGACACATGGGCCTGCCAGTCACCGGATTGGAATGGGTGGTGGAGGGGCGTGGGCTTAGTCCACTAGTGTTTTCCTTTATTACCCCACTCATCTCCCAATGCATGCACATACGACCTCATTCTCTCGCGCACCCTTTTCTGCGCATGAGCATTCCTTATGCGCTAGGAGGGGAACTGAGGTTGGAGGAGAACGGTTTCTCCATTGCAACACTCAGAACTTCTCTGTTAGAGCTGATTCCATTTTACAGATTCCAGCATTTTCTCAGAACAAGGCTGACCTCACAGGGAGAGTCACACAAATGCGGAAAAGCGCCAGTCGTCATGAGCTTTTCCTTGTGTGTTTGCGTCACCACGCAAGGTACAGGGAAGAATTTGGACATGGAGCGAAGTCTTTTTTGCACTTGTAATTTCCATTTGCCAAATTTGTTTGCCATCTGGAAGGCTTCTTTAAGTTCATATCCTTTAGATGTGGGCTTAAAAATAAAAGCTGCGTATAGCCCTTGAGTTCTACTTATAAATATCTTATCTCTCTAATGGAAAACTCCCCTATATTTCCCTTTCCAACTGAAGAGACCACTTTGAAGAAGGAAAAGTCTGACTAGTCTCCACCTTAGTTGCTTAGCTTGGAGAATGTGAGCAGCAAAGCCATGGGGCGACCGTGTAGTGTGATCCCTCTGCTCCCTGCCACTAACCAGGAGCTGGATGACGTGAACCCCGATGGCTTAGTTCAGACCCATTTGTGGGTCTGAATCACAAGGACTCTGAGGTGAACTTATGCCAGCGCCTTGTTCACGTGAATTGGCCTTATGGTGGGACTACAAGTCAGAATTAACTTGCAGTTAACTTGGTTCATATTTTTAAACTGTTCTATTTGGAACCATTATCCCATGATACCTACGAGGCTAGGCCTCCAGAGGACTAGGGAAAAAGCTCATTGCAGAGCTAGATCTTCTCCTACATAGAGCAAAGGAAGGCTAGAGCCGGCCCTCTCTCTCAGCGGCTCGTAGGTAAGGCCAGTTGTCCAGGTTCGCCGGTGGCGTCTTGTATTGCTTGGGCTTTCATGGCTCTTCTAGAGTCTAAGCCTGTGTTGTGCTTGTGCTCACTGTTGCTGAAAAGGTTAAGAAATCCTCTGATAAGAACATTGGTGTTGTTTTGCAGTGCAGCTTACAACAGTAGGCTCCCCCCACCCCCCCAAAAAAAAAGGTGTCAGCTGAGACTTAACAAGGGCCCAGCTTTCAGGTTTAAAGGGAAATCAGAAGTTGGTATGGGCCTCACTCTCCCTTCCCCAGCTCACTCACCAGCACCCGCGTTTGTTTGTTCCCTAGCTGTCTGCTCTGTGCAAACACTTGGACAATCTCTGGGAAGAATACCGTGGCAGCGTGGTCCTGTTTGCCTGGGTGCAGTTTCTGAAGGAAGAGACCCTTGCTTACCTGAACATCATCTCTCCGTTTGAGCTCAAGATGGGCCCTCGGGGAAAAGTGCAGAAAACGGCCGCGCAAGCCTTGGCCTGCAGCGAGCAAGATCTAGGGGGAGCTGCCAACAGTGAGCAAGGTTTAGGGGGAGCTGCAGGATCCGATGTCGACCAAGAGGAAGCTGTGGATGAGAGAGCCGTGCAGGATGTGGAGTCGTTGTCGAGTCTGATCCAGGAAATCTTGGACTTTGATCAAGCTCAGCAGAAAAAGTGCTTCGACAGTAAATTGTTCCTGTGCCCTATCTGCTTCTGTGATAAGCTGGGCAGTGAGTGCATGCACTTCTTGGAGTGCAAACACGTGTACTGCAAGGCCTGTCTGAAGGACTACTTTGAAATCCAGATCAGAGATGGCCAAGTTCAGTGCCTCAACTGTCCAGAACCAAAGTGTCCTTCAGTGGCCACTCCTGGCCAGGTAATTGCTTGTTCTGCTGGCAGCTGCCTCCTGGTTCTACTCTAGGGCAGGTGTGGGCTTCTCAGGAGCTTCTGGGACAGGGCTTCTCAGGGCAGTCTGAGACCTCAGGAAGCAGGCCACAAGTTGCCTTATTGTTTCACTCAAGAGTTCTGAGGTCTTTTAGGCAGATGGGGTTCTTTGCCGACCTTAGAATATTGTAGTGGAATGCAGGGATGAATGTGAAGTAACATTAGTTATTTTATATCTGCCAGGTTCCCATCAAGGGCCCCAGGTGATGTAGTGGGATTCTCGTTAGGTTGCTAACTACAAAGTCAGCAGTTCAAACCCACCAGTCACTCTGGGAGAAAGATGAGACTTTCTGCTCCCATGCAGACTTACAGCCTCAGAAACCCACAGGGGCAGTTCTTAGAAAACCAAACCAAACCATTTGATTAGCATGCAATTCCTGGAGCAGCAGTTCTGCATTGTCCTATCCGGTCTCCGTTGGCAATAATTCACGTAGGGGCAGTTCTCCTCTCCTGTAGGGTAGCCGTGAGTCAGAATGGGCTCCCTGGCAGTGAGCGCATGAGGGTCCATCAGCCTTGCTGTCTTTCTCTGTGACTGGGATCTGTAGGGGCGAGCCCTTAGAGTGGCTAATGGAACCCTTTCTAGACTTTAAAGTAAAGACAGCTGCCTTGCTTTGTTTGTTTTATTTAATCGACTTTATTAGGGCCCGATTTTAATTACAATAGGCTGTACTCATGTAAAGTGCATGGTCTGCTTAGTTTTAGCAAATGTCTAGACCCTCATACCTCAGTCAAGATGCCCTCTTCCCACACCTGACTCGGCTTTTCACATGTGTCCCCTTCTGGCTTGTACCCCGTGGATCTCTCCTAAGGAGGAGATCGGGTTGGAGAATCATCCGACTAGTGGTGTTTTTGTCTTCCCTGCAGGTCAAAGAGCTGGTGGAAGCAGAGCTATTTGCCCGGTATGACCGCCTTCTCCTCCAGTCCACCTTAGACCTGATGGCAGATGTGGTGTACTGCCCCCGCCCCTGCTGCCAGCTGCCCGTGATGCAGGAGCCCGGCTGCACCATGGGCATCTGCTCCAGCTGCAAATTTGCCTTCTGTTCCTTGTGCAGATTGACCTACCATGGGGTCTCTCCCTGTAAGGTGACAGCAGGTCAGTTGCAACCAAGTGAACTTGAACACCCGTCTCTTCTCCGCCCACTCTCCAACAAAAGCCTTATCGTTTCCATTGGGAAGCGTCTCTTCAACAAACAATTCGGGGCCAACGACTGTCTTAGAGGTGCTGTTGTTCTTAGGTGCCATCATGTTGGTTCTGACCCATAATGGTCTTGCATACAACAGAACAAAACCCAGTGCTGCGCCATCCTCGCTGCTGTTCCTGTGCTTGCGCCCATTGTTGGAGCCACTATGTCAGTCCGTCTCTTCGAGGGCCACTTGCTTCTTCACTGCCTCGCCACTTTACCCAGCACGATGTCTTTCTCCGGGGCGGTCTCTCCTGGGGATGCAGGAGTGACCCAGAGAACAAATCTCTACCTTCTTGGCACTTAGGCTCTAGTGAGGGCAGCAGACAAGCAAAAGAAAGGAGGCTATCCGGCAGGGCTGCATGTTAGGGGAAAAACCTCTGCCAAGAGGCAGGAACAGAAGAAGTTCTGAGTGCAGGGCTCTTCGGGTCTTGGTTCGGGAGCCGAGGAGTCTGCACTGGCAGAGTGGGTTGAGTAAAGACTTGAGAGCAGGAAGGAGACAGGCTGTGCGTCAGGGGAGCAGGAACCACGAGGTGCTGTCTCCCTGGGACCGTGGGACAATGTGGATCCCAGGGATGCATGCAGAGCATTTAAGCTGCCGCTCTTATTTCCATGGCTCCTCACTGGGCCTAGAGAGGTCTGGGAATCTCTCTCAACATAGCACTTTAGAAAGTCCCCGCTGGGGGGGTAGGCATCGGCGGGGAGCCCAGGTTGCCGATTCTGATCAGGCCTCCGCCACTGCTTTCACTAATCGCTGCTAACTTCATAGGGTATTATGAGAATGAGCGGTCAGATCTCATACGAACCCAGGATATTAAGTTTGTTTTCCCACTCCATGACAAGGTGAATATAGAAATTGACTGCCAGGGTCAGAAATTGTCCTTTTTTTTTTTTTTTAAAGTTGTTTGAGAGTCATTTTATGTCTGTCAAATCCAACTACAAAAATGTAGGGTACAATGTTTTTTGTGTGTAATAATTACTATTTTGTTCTATAAAAGTACGGGTCCATAAGAGATTGAAGGGGAGTGGTGTTGAACCGCCACCATCACTGGAGAAGCGCTGAGCCAACACATGGAGCATGCAGAGTGAGGTTTGGGGCCTCGGCAGAGTGAGGAAAAAGCACACACACGATTACTACACCAAATGCACAGATGGACACGTTCCTTCAATTGACAATATTAGAGCAATCATCTCAGAAAAAATATTTGATTTTAACAGTTAATTGGCATATAATCCACATATCAAGTTCAGTCATATTAAAGAGTTGTACATTTATCACCACAATCAATTTTAGCCATTTTCTTCTTCGTTATACTCATTGTTACTAGCTCTCTACAGCAGTAATCTTTTGTCGGTAAGGTGTCTAGGAACATAAAAATGCTTTGAATTAGCAGAGAATAAAAGTGACCGGATAAAAAGGTCCATGGCTGTGTGTCTTGGTAGAGGAGAGGAAGCGGTGAGAACACACATCGGAAGCCCTGGTGCCATAATGGGTTACATGTTGGGCTGCTAACCATAAGGTCAGCAGTTCAAAACCACCAGCCTCAACTTTTGGAGAAAGATGAGGCTTTCTACTCCTGTAAAGATTTACCGTCTCAAAACCTACAGAGGCGGAGACTTGAATAGGTGGCTGTGAGTGAGGATTCTTCCCCAGGTGATGTCCATGGAATAAAAAGAGGCCGATCTCTAGATCACATGGGGAAAGCAAGCTAATGAAGGCCCAAGGACACTGTCGGTTCTGACTCACAGCCACCCTTTAGGACAGAGCGGAGCTGTCCTTCAGGGCTGCAGATCCCGATGGGAGCCGACAGACAGCCTTATCCTTCGCCAAGAAGTAGCTGGTGGGTGTGATTGGTCTGCACTATCAGGACTCCTTGTTGGGAGAGGTTTTAGAAGCTAATTAATGGTGTTAAAAATTAAGGTAATAGAATTGTGGGGGGAAATGCCTTGGCTTACGAGTAAAGCCTTCAGGTTGCCTTCTCCACTGGAGTTAAGTGATAGAGCAATAGGAGTCAGGCTGAAGAATGTCAAGCAGACAAGTTGGCAGGAGGAACCTCTTGGCATCCGTGACAAAGCAGAGCACCGGGTGAGATGGGGGGGATCATTGTTCTCCACTGACATTTTTACAGACAGACCGAACTGTTTAGTGTTGGCCGGTAAGCCATAGCTGCTTTTTTTTGTTTGTTTGTTTTAATCATTTTATTAGGGGCTCATACAACTCTTATCACAATCCATACATCAGTTGTGTAAAGCGCATCTGTACATTCATTGCCCTTATCATTCTCAAAACATTTCCTCTCCACTTAAGCCCCTGGCATTAGATCCTCATTTTTCCCCGTCCCTCCCCGCTCCCCGCCCCCTTCATGAGCCCTTGATAATTTATAAATTATTATTTTGTCATATCTTGCCCTGTCCGACGTCTCCCTTCACCCACTTTTCTGTTGTCTGTCCCCCAGGGA